TAATTGTTGCTGCTGCTCCATTATTCTTGTCTGTTTGTCCTCTCCCTCCTTCCTGCCCCCCACCCTCCCTGCATGCAAGCACACACACACACACACACTCTTTCTCTCTCTCTTTTTATCACTCACTATCTGCACACACTAGATCTATATTCAGATGGATGCTGAACCATTTGAGAGTTGCAGATCTGATGATGACATTTCACCCATGTGTGTTTTGTACATCCTGAGAACCCAGAACATTCTCTTATATAACCAGATACAATTATCATAGTTCAAAAACTAAGCATTGATATGATTATCTGAAATACCATTCATATTCAGGTGTCCCAAAGTTTCCCTATAATGCCCTTCACAAACAGTTTTTCCTCCCTAGATACAGTATGTGTATCATGCATTGCCTTTAGTTGTTGTCTCTCCTTGAATATATAAGAATATAGAAGAAATCCCTAGCCTCTTTTTCTGTTTGTTTTCATGATACAGGCATTTTTGAAGAGTCCAGGCCAATTTTGCAGACTTAAGCTTTGTCTGCTTGTTCCTGATTAGATTCAGGTTAAATTTTTAGCGGAAAGAATACCTAGGTGGTGATATATCTTTAGTGTATCGCATCAGAAGGCACATGATATCATTTTATCCCATTATTGATAATGTTAAGTCTGATTGCTTGATTAAGGGTATTGTTTCCTGTACTTCTCTATTTTAAAGATTTTTTTCTAATAGTCTGTGGGATGATACTGAAGATTCCATTCCCCCCCCAACTTTTTGCCCAGTGGTTTTGGCATTTATTGCTGGTTGGTTTTTTTTTTCCCATTGATGATTCTGGCCTCAATTATTACTTTAATGGTCACAAAAAAAGTGATTTTTCTAATTCTTTTATTTCTTCTGCATTTATTAGTTGACATTCTTCTCTAAAGAAGGGCATTTACTCCCTGCTTTATTTCTCTTCATTTTATTTTTTTGCTATTATCACTCTGGACTCAGGGATTTGTGTTTTTTGGGGTTTTTTTTGTTTGTTTTTTAAGATTTTATTTATTTGAGAAGGAGAGAGGAGAGAGAGCGTGAGAGAGAGTGCGTGTGCACAAGCCAGAGCACAAGAGCGCGGGGGAAGGAGAAGCAGACTTCCTGCTGAGCAGGGAGTTCCATGCTGGGCTCAATCCCAGGATGCTAGGATCTTGACCTGACCCGAAGGCAGCTGCTTAACCGACTGAACCACCCCGGCGCCCCTGTTTTTTGTTTTTTTAACTAGGCTCCATTCCCAACATGGTGCTTGAAAACTCATGACCCCAAGATCAAGAGTAGCACACTCTACTGACTGAGCTAGCCACACGCCCCCCAGGGATTCTTTTTTTGCTCATTTGGTTATATTCCATTCTTGTCTTTATTTTGATGCTCATGTTTCTAAAGCTGACTGGTGAGAGCACCTTCAGTCTGGTTCCCGTGCCCTTTTGATGTCTCCATCTGTTTTTGTGAATTTTCTTGCTGTTGAAACAAGATGTTTTAAGATCTCTTCGGACTTCCTCTGCTGCAGCCTTGGAATGAACTATTTTTTCCAAGAAGTCCTATTCCACTTTAGTAGGAAATGATATTAGAAATCAGAATTTGGGGGGCGCCTGGGTGGCTCAGTCATTAAGCGTCTGCCTTCGGCTCAGGTCGTGATCCCAGGGATCTGGGATCGAGTCCCGCATCGGGCTCCCAGATCAGCGGGAAGCCTGCTTCTCCCTCTCCCACTCCCCCTGCTTGTGTTCCCTCTCTCTCTGTCTGTCTCTGTCAAATAAATAAATAAAATCCTTTTTTAAAAAAATCAGAATTTGGGTGCTGAGCATGCTTCTTTCTTCTGGTGTGTTCCTGCTCCTAGACTCTTTCAGTGTACAGAAATGGAGACTGTCTGTTTCTCTCGATCGGTAGATTGATAGAGATTTTTTAAAATACAAGCATGTGTTCATAGTACTATTTCTAGCTCCTAATCCCCAAAAATTATTTTTCTCCCTATTCCTTTGTATATTTGTATCCCTCATCTCTCATAGTAACATGCTTGGATCCTCAAAAATCTCAGTATACTCATTTGCTCCATTTTGTAGCAATGAAATTGCTACACCATTATGCTACACCATAGAATGTTGTTTGTAATAAATGTATGAACTTAACGTAAGTACTTGATGGGCACTTAAAACAATTTACCTTAAGTAGAGGGAGAACTCTCCTTTCTACTTGCTAATATTCTTTTAAAAATTATTTTTCTGGTAGTCCCACAGATTTTGTTTTGTTGTAGCAATTAGCTAATTTTAACCGAATTCTTCTTCAGTATAGTAGTTGCAGATGTCCTGAGGGAAATGCTATGAAATAGGTTTGCCTATACAACAAAGATATACCTCAAACTGACTCATTTAAATTTCATGTTAATTTTAGGGGAGCTCACATTGATTACTGGAATTATTGCTTTGTGGGAAACTTTATCTTAGGCAGATACTAATGTTTAAAGACATGGGAGAAAAATGTGGATCTGATAAATTAGATGTGAAAATAAGGCAGATCAGAAAAAAATTAGAGAGTAAGAGCTACAACTGGGATATTGGTTCTTATAAGCAGTCATTTAATTTTGTTCTGCTTCTTGGCAGTCTTTTTAAAAGGAATATTCAGTCAGATGACTTTCATTGTTTAAGAATAGAGAACACTTTTTTTTGGATTATAGGAGGAATTTTATTGTGGGAATCAGATCTATTTCTACAATAAATGTACAAGTGTTTCTTTTTTTTTCTGTAAAGATTTTATTTATTTGACAGAGAAAGGCACAGCGAGAGAGGAAACACAATCAAGGGGAGTGGGAGAGGGAGAAGCAGGCTTCCCACTGAGAAGGGAGCCGAATGCAAGGCTCAATCCCAGGACCCTGGGATTGTGATCTGAGCCGAAGGCAGACGCTTAGTGACTGAGCTACCCAGGCACTCTGTACAAGTGTTTCTTGCATTATTTTAGCACTTTAATTAAATCATAGTTTAAGGAAGGCATTTCTTTTTTTAAGGAATTGAATTTAGGAAATGCAAGGAAATTAGTATTTAATATGCCCCTTAGATTCTTAGGATACAAATAACTTCATATGCAGCGGCACCATAGTTGCAGAGGTCTATCTGAAACCTGATTGTTAGTGATATACACTTACTAGTTGGTTCAAGTGTACTGGGGGATAATATACGTTCTTTGGTTTCACTCTCTGAATACCAAAGTATAGATATTTTCTAGTATTTATTAAAGAAGGAATCAAAAACTTTTTTTAAAAGATTTATTTATTTTAGTGAGAGAGCGAGCGAGCAAGTGGGGATGGGAATGGGAGGGAGGGGCAGAGAGAGAGTCCCAAACACAAGTGGGGCCAGATTCATGTACCTGAGCTTGGATGCTCAACCGACTGAGCCACCCAGGCATCCCGAAAGAATCAAATACTTTTTGTGCTTCTGTATGGTGCTAAGTACCAGGGAGACCAAAGAAAGCACATACTATTTCAATACCTCAAAATAGCTTATATTCTTGTCTAAGTTTATTAGAATATTATACAAATAGAAAAAGCTGAAAATTCATTTGGAACACTTAGAATATTTTTTAAATATTAATTGCTTTGATAGTAAATTTTTACTTTTGAATGTTTACTTGCACTGTTCTAACCACCTAAGAATCCTCAAGAGTATATTGGTTTTGCTGTCCATTCTTTTTTTTTTTTTTTTTTTAAGATTTTATTTATTTAAGAAAGAGAGAGTGCACGAACAGGGTTGGAGGGGGGAGTGAGGAGGGGCAGAAGGAGAGGGAGAAACAGACTCCGCACTGAGCAGGGAGCCTTACACAGGCCTCAGTCCCAGGACCCTGAGATCAGGACCTGAGCCGAAGGCAGATGCCTACCTGACTGAGCCAACCAAGCGCCCCTGCTGTCCATTGTGATTTTATAGTTACAGTTTCTTTCCAATCTTGATTTACTTTAATTTTCCGACTAGATTTGATTTATGAATCATAAGGCTAGAAATGCTCTACAAGTATAACCTGGTTTTTTCCTTCAGTCTCCACCAGGGCTCCCTGCGTCCCTGGCCCCTCTTCCCCCCAGACAAAACCAAGATAGATGGTTTACTCTAACTCCAGGGAAGAATGTTGCAGAGTCCCTGGTAATCCCTTATCCCAGGGTTCAACAACCTTTTTCATTATTATCTATTTAACCATAAGTCCCTGCCGCTATAAACAAACTATCTTCTTTAGTTCTTAGTGAAAATACATGCCGTAATGTTTATAGAAATGACACCCTCATTTTCTCCTCCATTCCAAAAGACTTTATTTTTCAGTACAGTTTCAACTACTATTACTAACCCAAGTTAATTTTAGATTCTATTACTGAAAGCCTCGGTTTTGCCATTTATTGAGGTATTGATTGAAATATTACTGTATTTAGAGCAGAAATGTCGTTTTTTAGGGAATCTAGAGCAACAGCAAAGCTGAGGTCAAACTGCCATAAGGATGGACACCAAGGAAGCTGTGTTTGGGACAAAAAGAAATCAAGATAAGGTAGATGCAAAGTAGAGAAAAGCGCTGGACCCCGGGGGGAGGGAGTGGTAGGTGGGAGCGGGTTTGTGCGCCACTGAAGGCAAAGAGTAGTTAGATTTCTGAAGAGGGGGCCGCAGAAGGCTTGTAGGAATCGTGATTTGGGCGATCTGAATCCATCTATCTGAATGTTTAAGTTTTAACTGACTTTTAGCTAGCTGAATACTTAAAAATTGATAAGGTTAAGTGTTTCAATGGGGTGGATCCTAATACTCTGGGCTAGTGTTTACTATCTCAGTAGTCGTGCCAGACACTATTGGTATTAGTTGGTAAAACCATTACCAGTACCCAGCTTCAGCACTAATGCCTGCTGCTACTTGGAAGTCGAAAGGGAATCTCCGAATGAAGCATTAAACTCACAGAATGAGTACAGAGCATTTTAATTTTGATTTTCCTTTTTGTGATTGATACAAAGATTGTGTTTCTCTTCTTAGCAACATGAACCGTGAAGACCGAAATGTGCTGCGTATGAAAGAACGGGAAAGGCGGAATCAGGAAATTCAGCAGGGCGAAGACGCCTTCCCACCTAGCTCTCCTCTCTTTGCCGAGCCATACAAAGTTGTAAGTAGTCCTGTGAATGGTTTTTTCCCCCCAACAGTGTGACGTTTTTGCTTTTCAAGTGTTTAAGCTTGAATTTTGATAGTAGAAAAGAGTTACTATCATATATTCCATTTAACATTTTTCCTTTCCTCTAAATGAGAATGTACACTTTTGGGGTAAACTTGTCATTGGAGTATAACATACATACAGAAAGGTACACAAAACAAGTGTTTTAGCTGAAAGAATTTTCACAACATGAACAACTTTATATAATCAGTACCCAGATCAAGAAACATATGATTAGCATCCTAAAGTCATCCTCAAACCCAAATTTCCTCCCTTACCCCTGTTGCTATCTCATATTCTTGAAAATGTGGTCTGGATTAGCTCAGACATTGATATCTACATCCCAGGCTCTACCGCTAACCCTGGGCAGGCATTTCACCTTTCTGAATTAAATTAAAATTTTGTAAATGAGTATGGATCGTCTACTGTTTCTTACGTTCTTTTGGGTATAATATAATGTCAAAGACAACTTTTTCAGAGATTCTTTTGTTTCTCCCTTGTTTCTTGCCATTTGCTTACTTAGTTTACCAAATATTTAGATTACTAAATATCAGTGACTGCTACTGTATTTGAATAAATGTGTCTTCAGTATCAGTCCGGTTCCTTTTTCTGTTTTATACTAAATTCTTTCTTTTTTATGGGCTTAATGAACAATATCCAATTTAGATTAAAAGCTTGTTGTCAGAGATGTTCAGTAAAGTGGACCAATTGCTATTTTGGTAACTATCATTGTACTTGATTTGGGATTACATAAAACACTGAATGATGTCACTTCTGATGACTAATGTGGCTGTAGTGGCCACAGATGTCTCTAATGTTTGATTTGGCTTTGGCTCATTTGATCTACCCTTACATTTTGAAGGCTTATACTGTGTATGATGGTATTGCAGCAGTAATGGCCGTTGTTGGTTTACGGTGTGAGATGGAGAGTGTGTTAGACTTTTTTCTGATGAAATACAAATATAACAACATATTCTAGGTTTACCCTGGTAACATTTGGTGTTTGTAGAAGCTATGAGATCTATAAAAGCCATTTTTTAAAAATATTTTATTTATTTATTTGAGAGAGAGAAAGAGAGACAGCACAAGCGGAGTGGAGAGGGAGAGGGAGAAGCAGACTCCTCACCAAGCAGGGAGCCCAGCGCGGGGCTCGATCCCGGGACCCAGGGTCAGGACGCGAGCTGAAGGCAGACCCTTAACCGACTGAGCTACGCAGACGCCCCATAAAAGCCATTTTTTACTAGTTCTTAAGGATTTTCATTTAAAGGCAGTTACACTGACATCATTTATATGAGTGTAACATGATAACACGAAACCTGGGGTTTGGGATTAGGGATTAAAGGCATTTCACAAAAACTGCAGGAGTTTGGTCCAGAATCTTCAAATCATACAACCATTTATTTTGTAATTACATTGTAATGAGTTGGATTTGATTCCTGAACTTGATGTTGTCTACAAATTGCTATATATTTCCCCCTCTTGTTTAATAGGGGTCAGACTGATTTTCAAATGATCTAAAGTCTTATCAGTTCATGCCAACCTCAGAATAAATAGTGGTTCTGTCTTGATTTCCTGTTTAATGCAATCAGTAAGCTTACACTCTTTCATGTTTGTGAACGTGAAAGAGTACTAAAGCTTGTGGATATTTTGGACTTTCTTATTATCCAAGAATGATTTTTAAAACCTACACTCTGTACCATTGACTTCAAAACTTGGAGTGTTTCTTGCTCAGAATTAATAGAATTAATATTTGAAACTTTATCAGTAGATTTTCCATTCTTAATTTGTTGTTGACTTTTATTAACTTAATTAGTCACAGTAACAGAAGGAATTAAAATTTTTTAAAAGGTCAGTTGGGTATAACATGTTTCATTAAATTTTTATTTCTCCTTTTAACTATAACATTGAACTCGGGGAATAAAATATTTTCCTACATTGCCAAAATAATGAGTGTTGGCTAATTTGCTCACCTAGAACTTAACTACATAAAGGCCCGTTACTTTTCCTGCTCTTCAAAAGATTTCTACTACTGTTTCAGTATATTTATTGGTGAAATTTGGATTTTTTTCCCTTCTGGAAACTTTGTACATACTTCTCAATATCCTATAGAGTATTTGTGTTTTTGCATGAATGTTTTTCACTTTCGATGCATTTTTTCCACTATAAAAATTATATATCTGGAGTTCACGTTTGAGATGTTAACCTTAAGGTATGAGATACGAGGCCTCCCTTTGAAAAACCCCTTTGCATTTGAAGTTTGGAAAGTCCATTTATAGAAGCATCTTTTAGTTCCCGTTACACTAATTCTGTCGTTTTATTTTACAATTTTTTGTAGACTAGCAAAGAAGATAAGCTATCAAGTCGTATTCAGAGTATGCTTGGAAATTACGATGAAATGAAGGATTTCATAGGAGACAGATCTATACCAAAGCTTGTTGCAATTCCCAAGCCTACAGTACCGCCGGCAGCAGATGAAAAATCGAACCCGAATTTCTTCGAACAGAGACATGGGACCTCTCATCAGAGTAGCAAATGGACTCCAGTAGGACCTGCACCCAGTACTTCTCAGGCTCAGAAACGGTCCTCAGGCTTGCAGAGTGGACACAGCAGCCAGCGGACCAGTGCCGGTGGCAGCGGTGGCACCAGCAGTGGTGGCCAGAGGCATGACCGTGACTCATACAGCAGTAGTGGAAGCAGTAATCGGAAAAAAGGCCAGCATGGGTCGGAACACTCCAAATCACGCTCTTCCAGCCCTGGAAAACCCCAGGCTGTGTCTTCATTAAGCTCCAGTCATTCCAGGTCTCACGGGAATGATCACCATAGCAAGGACCATCAGCGTTCCAAATCCCCTCGGGACCCTGATGCAAACTGGGATTCTCCCTCCCGTGTACCTTTTTCAAGTGGGCAGCATTCAAATCAGTCTTTCCCACCTTCATTGATGTCAAAGTCCAGTTCAATGTTACAGAAACCCACTGCCTATGTGCGGCCCATGGATGGACAGGAGTCCATGGAACCAAAGCTGTCCTCTGAGCACTACAGCAGCCAATCCCATGGCAACAGCATGACTGAACTGAAGCCCAGTAGCAAAGCACATCTCACCAAGCTGAAAATACCTTCCCAACCATTGGATGTAAGTTACACATTTAGAGCCTTTTTTAAAATTTTTTAATTTATCCCATTTATTTTAGACAGAGCAGGGGGAGGAGCAGGGGGAAGGAGAGAGAGAACCTCCTGCCACCCCAAGATCTGGACCTGAGCCAAAATCAAGAGTTGGCCACTTAACCGACTGAGCCACCCAGGAGCCCTTTAGAGCTTTTAATATTACGACTCTGTGAAGCAGTTTACTATGAAATTATAATTGAACTTAAATTTTGTCTCAGTTTTAATAAGGTATAGATAAGTTTAAAAATAAGACTTGTGATTGACTCCAAAGTGATCAGTAGACCTGTTAGCTTCCCCTGTTGGGCAGTAGAGAAAATGTCATTCACTGTTTTGAAATATTCAGATGACAGTCGTAGAATAAAAGCATGATCTGTGAAATCAATACCTTAGATTTCCTCCTTTTGATTTTATGAAAGAATACGTCTTGTGTTCTTTTTTTTAAAAAAATAACTTGTATTCTCATTGTGATACTCATGAATGCGATGTGGGCTGTGGTTCATTGTAGTGAATGTTGGGATTGGGGGGGGGCGTCCATCAAGATGGTAATGTTGTGTGGTTTGGATGCCATGAGTTTTTTTTCTCTGTTTGCACTTAAGGGTTTGAGACAGCTGCTCTAGATTCATAGTGGTGGTTTGAAATTTACAGTATTTATAACTGCATGCCAAAGCATCAGAATAACTAAAGAAATTGAGTATTCACTGTGAAATAGTTTTTTATCTTTTAAAAGAAAAAATTTTAGAAGTAGTCTTTGTACTTTTCGTAGAAGTGTGAAAATCATAGTTCATAGCTTAAAACGGTTGTGGAAGGGGTCAAGGGTAGGTGAAATGGTGTTTTAAGAACATTTAGACATTTTTCCTGTGGCCTTAGGAAACTCATTGTTCATGGCAGTTGTCATCTAATTACTCCTCTGAAGAGAATAGTGAAGTGGTTGTTTGTTCTTTCTTCAAACAACTTGATCCTTGGAGATAGACTTGAGTGCAAACTCTAGCTCTCCAGTTCCTGACTGTGCTTTAGAATAAACAACTTTGCCGTGATTTAAGGAAACTGTGTAAAATGTCCATCATATTCCAGACAAGTATTCTTTCAATAATGCTGGTTTTATTCTGTTTGTTAGTTTATGTGAAGTAATGTATTTCAGTATCATGGTATATTTTGTATATAAATAAACTCAAATTTTTGACAAGTTGCTCCACCTGCAAAATAACATTTAAAAATTTATTTCTAATCTAAGTATAAGAAAGATAAGATTTTTCAAAACTTTTGATAAATACAAAGTTCTTCAAATCCTTGTACAGTTGGTGATTAAAATTTTTTAGAGCTTGAAAAATTTGCATTTAAGGAAATTTGTCAAAAGATTAATTAGTGTTGTGATTTAGAATAGTGGGATCATAAATAGGTCTTTAAATTTAATTTGTTTTCTAATAGTGTTGTTGAATCTGTGCAACAAATAATAAAAATCTAATGATAAATGACCCCAAATCTAATGTGTGTCTCTTTTCCTCTTAAGGCATCTGCTTCTGGTGACGTGAGCTGTGTGGATGAAATTCTTAAAGTAAGTTATTGTTGTTGTTTTAATACTTTGTCTTTTTTGTTTATGATCCTCTGCTATCTTCTTGCCCTCTTCCCCCCGATATTTCACAAAGGATCTGGGGCAGCAGATTGCTTACATGTGAAACCTCATTATGTCTGTAAAAAATAATTGACTCTGTTATGCCTATTTTCATACTTAGTTTCTGAGTCATTTGGTTTGTTAATAACTACCTGCACTCGAAGAACTGGTTTGGTTTGTTTTTCATTTTTAAGTAAAACAAATTCCCGTCATAATAGTTTGCCTTGAAAAGAGGAAGAAACCAAATGCAACAGTACTTTCTAAGGCTTATCGGTAATTACCAGTCAAACCGTTTCATTGAAGATAGCTTGCTTTCTAATTCATTTGTACTTACTGGTCAGTTCCTACAATGAAAGACCTCCTCCTAATACAGCTCACTTTGAGTGTTGGATGGAATATGTTTAAAACCGACACATGACCAAAATGTGCATTCCTCTTCTGGGAAAAGAAAAAGTTGTCAGTTGGAAAAAGAGAAGGTCTAGTGGATTAATGAGTGACAGTGAGTGCTCTTGGCTTAGTAGAGAAAAACTGTCCGTCACGTCTTACTTGTACTTTCTGCATAAGCTCCTGATTTTTTTGTGTCTGTACCTGCATCTCATCATGAATCCTCCTTCTGAGAGACTACTTGCATTGCTACTCCCACTCTATTCTCTCCTCCTTTCTTCAGCCCAGCACAGTCTCTCATTTGTCTCAGTCATGTTGCTGAAGCTGTTTCTCTAAGCTCATGGTCTTTCCCTTCACTGGGGGCTTCATTTGAGTTCTCTGCTCTTTCTGCTGTCCTCAAGAATTTTTAGTTTTTCATTCTAGAAACCTCATTCTTCCTTCCTTGCCTGTTATTATGCTTCACCGTTTTTATTTCCATCCACCTTTCTTATCTCTCGTTCTCTGCCTTTTGGGAACCTTGGCGTCTTCTCTTTTCAACATGGGTCTTTTTTCTAGCTTCTCCATTTTTTTCTGCTCCATATTGATTTTCCTCCATTGTTACGGCTTCACCTGTTAACTCTTCAGTCTTTCTCTCCTCCTTGGCCTCCTCTGAACTGTGGTTTATTCTCTTGCTTCGTAGCTATGTGTCCATTTGCGTTTCTCCCTGCTTCTTTAGACTGAACATATCTAAAGGCAGATTTATCAGACTTCCTTCTCTTAGTAGTACCACCGTTCTCCTGTGCTTCTAAGTGTAAAATCCTAATTTTCTCTCATGTTCTATTTAATCACAAAACTGCATGTACAGTTTGAATTTTCCTTGAAAATGCCACTCCTTTATTTCCATTTCTGCCACCTTGAGCTTCAAGAATTGCAATCTACCGTCCTCGCTTTGCTCATCTGTCTTCTGTATTGCTACCAGATTCTCTCTTAATCCATTGTCTTCCTAAGTTAATTTCTGTCTTAGACATTTCAGTGGCTCTGTCTCTAATCCCCATAGAAAGAATAGTGTCCAAGTTCAACGTTCTAGACCTTTTTCACAGGCCGGTTCTAACCTCTCTCGCTATTGATTCACCACTTTTGTCAAATTGGTTTCACTAAGCCATATGCTTTCTTGCTCTTTTACCTTTTTAAAGTAGACTTTCGTGAAATATGTTTCTCCTTTGTCTTTAGTCATATACAGATGGTTTTTTCTTAGAATCCCAGTGTAATCCTTCTTTCCCCTGTGTCAGACCATCAGATCACATAACTCTTTTGAATCTCATATAGCAAAAAAAAAGAATCTCATATAGCATATGCATTTTTCAGTTGCCATGTATATGAAAAGTGTAACAGAGCATTTATCTTTTCTCATTGAATCCTCAAAGATGCATGGCATTGTAATACCTGGTAGAATCTTAGATATTCTCACATTTGATGATCTCTTTGATGATACTGACCATTTAGTCTTCATTTTATATACATAGGGCTTGGCACATGGCCTTGGGTGTAACGGGTGCTCAGTCATTTAATGATGCAGTTAAATAGATTTTCTGTAGAAAGTACTTCGGTATTTGAGGTGTAAAATGCCAGCACTGAAAACCTAGAGTGCCCGAGTTTCTGTTTCCTTTCCCTGTATGCAGTGCATAAGGAACTGCAGGTCCAAATTGCCTTCATGTTTTCTTGATCTTTGTAGTCATACTATTTCTAGGAACTCCATCATAAACTTAAAGAAGAAAATTTTAATCTAAAAATGATAACTGTTTCTTGTAAAAACAAGCAAGATTAATTCATGGTTTGCTAATGAAGCCCCTGTCATGTATCAAGCTCTTGGGATAACAGTGGTGATAATGATAGTGTTGCACCCTTTGAGCTGACATTCTTGCTGGATATTGGAAATAATCAACTATTTAACATTATTTCAGAAAGTGAAATGCTATTAAAAAATAAAGCATTGTAAGAAGATAAAGAGCAATTAACAGTGCAGGGGACTATTTTACAAAGTTCCAGCAGTAGAGACTGTACCAAGTGCCCAGGTCTCTTTCGAAACCCTTCTGTTGTTCTGTTGCCCAAACGTAGCCAGAGATTTTTTTTTTTCATATATATTTTTTCATATACAAACATTTACTAGGACATAGACTATGATTTCTGTTTATCACTTACCAGTATGTTGTGGACAACATTCCATATCAGTAGTTAAATTCCTCATTTACTGTCTGCTTGGTGTTCCATTGTGTGGCTATCTGGTAATTTAATTATTCTGTGCTGTTGGATATTTAGGTTGTTTCCATTTTTGAAGTGTAGGCCCCTTGAACATGTATCTTTACCTAACTGTGTGGGTATAGCTACAGAGTAAATTCCTAAAAGTTAAACCACCCTTACTGTATTTTCTCAGTCTACCTAGTGGCTTACTTTGAACTTTGAAATAAAACACTCCTTCCTTATTCTAAATCTGATATCTTTCTTTCCCCTGCTCCTCTAACATACACATTGTGATCTTATCCAAATCTCCACTTGAACATAGTTGGCATGTGATTAAACAGAAGGCATTGAATGAAATCATACTTACGGCCTTGCCTGTCTGTCTTCCTTCTCGTGTGCTTTTGGTATCTCTCTTCTGGTTTCCTCCACCTGACCAAAACTTCCCATCAGCGAATGGGCTCTGCAGCCAGACTTCCTAGGGTGAAATTTCGTGTCCATTTGTGTCCACAAATGTGTGGCCTTTAATAAATAACTTCTGTGCTTCAGTTTCATCCTACATAGAGTTAGGGTAATAATGGTATCTACCTCCTAATATCGTTGTGAGTACTAAATAAGTAACAGACCTGTAAAACAGCACAGTATCTGGCCCATTAAAGGTACACAATAAATGTTAGCTCCTTTTCTTATTATTACCCGCCCCTCCCGCTCTCACAGCATGCTCTTCTTCAGTAACATTGTACTGTGTACCTTGTATTTGATTACAGGCTTATTTCTGTGATGATTCACAGGTTTCATCATCTTAGCTCCAAGCTCCCTGAAGCCAGGCAGTGGATATTATTTATCTTATTTCCTGCCCCATAGTGCCTTGCACACAATTGTGCTTAATTAATATTTATTGATTAAATATGTATACTTTTGGAAGGACCTATCATGAAACCAGCATTTATAATACAAATCTGGTTTTTAGCTATGTAATTTTTATCCTTGAACTGGTTGAAAACAAACTGTAATAATTACATTTCAGGAGATGACGCATTCATGGCCTCCCCCTCTAACGGCTATTCATACACCATGCAAAACAGAACCTTCCAAATTTCCTTTTCCAACTAAGGTAAGTAAATAACATGTGTCTTTGATACTGTTAGAAAACTCTAAATGGCTTGACTAAAATCATATGAATTCAGAATTGTCTTGCCATTCTAGTGGGAGACAGACAATAAATATATAAGTTCAAATAGTGATCATTGCTATGAAGAAAACAAAACAAGATAATAGAATCAAGAGTGACTTAGATTAAGAGGTTCTTGAAAAAGCTTTGAAGGCAATCGGGAAGAGAATTAAAAGGCATCAGTGTTTCTTGCAAACTGTTCTAGGCTGCCGGTGGTAAGCGCTGCCAGGGGGTAAGGGCTTCTCACGCTCTTGCCTGAGGACCCCCCCCTTCCACTGGACATAGCAGCCATACTGATGTGCTGTGGAAAGAGGTTCCTCAGACAACAGTTCCAAGTTCAACTACAATCAGCAGATGTGCTTTTCTTTTTTTTAACATTAATTTATATTTACATGAATAATAGAAGAATATATTCTCCTTGTGGAAGTTTGACCAGGACCTCTAATAATAGCCTTTCCCAGTGTTGCCTCTTCCATCTCACCAGAGCAACTTCCATGCATACCTTTGCAAGTCTTTTCACATGCATATGTGATCATTATGCGTTAAGCACTCTCTCTCTGAATTTATTTCTGCCCAGATTTATTGTTCTGGATTTTTAATCAGCAACAGGCCTTAGAGATCATTCTGTGTTACTAAGTGTCATAGATTACATATACAGGTATTTCGTTTCTTATATTTGCATCTATAGTATAAATGTATTTTAGTTGAATTATTTCCCTTTGGTATTTAAGTTGTTGCCAAGTTTTCATTTCCATAAACATTGCTTGTGTGGTATCTTTTTCATGCCTTCTTGTGTGCATATGAGTTTCTTTTGTGTAAAGTAAGAAGTAGAATTGTTGAGTATTGAGACGGTATATTTAATATATATTCTCAAATTCCCTCTGTATCAGTTGTACCAGTCAGTACTCCCACTTATATTCCCTCTGATTCCTCACATGCATGTCACCATTTGTTATTTGAAGCACCAGTCTTTTGAGTGCAGAATGGCATTTAATTTCCTAGATTGCTAGTCAGGTTTGTCGTCTTTACACATTGTCATCCGTGTGATTTCTCTGTAGGTGAATTTACTCTGTAGGTGAATCTCTGCTCTTGGGGTTGCATCTTTCACCTAATGAGTTTCAGGAGGAGTTCTTTTTGTGTTGTTTTGTTTGAATTCTGGATTCTAATAGTTTCTTCTGTGTGCTACAAATACATTGCCCAGTGAGAGTCCTTTTAAGTATCACGGTCTGGAAGATTTTAATTTTGATGAATAAGTAGATCGTTCTCTTCTGTGAAGCTTTTACTTTTCAATGTCTTGTTAAAGAAGCATTTTCCTTCCCCAGGATCATAAGCATACCCTCTTATTTTTTACCTTAATGTAATGGCAATTTTGTTTTCTATGCTTATCTTTAGCCCAGTTTATTTTTGTGAATAATGTGAGGTAGGCATGTAACTTTCTGCCTGTATGTGTGCCGTCACCCTCTTTTCCTTCAGCCTTAATACGCACCTAGTAAATGTACAGTTGGAGTTTGGTAGGTGTATGCAGCTGTGTAGCCACCAGCCCAGTCAAGAATTAGAATATTTCCGACACCGCCACAAGTCCCCTCATGTTTCTTTGCAGTCTGCCTCACCCCCACCACTGGCCCCTCATAATCACTGATCTGTTTTATGTCACTATAGACAAGTTGTGCTTTTTCTAGAATTTCATGTAAATGGAATCCATACAGTGCATACTCCTTTTGTATATGTGTTTACCTTCTTTAGCTCAGCATCTACTTCTGGAATTCTTCCATGTTCATGAATGTATTGGTAATTTGTTCTTTTTTATTCCTGAGTTCCTTTTTATTTGTGTTGTATGAAAATATCAGAATTTGTGTATCCATGTACCTGTTGATTAACATTTGGGTTTTTTCCAGATTTGGGCTATTAAGAAGAGAGTATCTATAAATATTCACTTACAAGCCTTTGTGTAGACTTAAGTTTTCTTTTTTCAAGGATAAATACTGGGCTATATGGTAAAAAGTAGAATTGCTCAGTCATATGTTGAATTCATGTTAACTTGATACTAAACTAAAACTATTTTCCCAAGCGACTGTGTCATACTCCTACCTCACTCCACTCCCATCTGTCAGCAATATATTATAGTTTGATTTGTTCTACATCCTCGTCTACATTTGGTATTGTCAGTCTTATTTAGTTTTAGCCATTTTCCTGGGCACGTAAAGGTTTTATCTCATACTGGCTTCAGTTTGTGATTCCCTGATGACTAATGATGTTGAACCTCTTCTTATGACCTTATTGACCATTCTTCTTTTTTGGATATCAGTTCAAATCTTATGACTCTTGTGTATTATGTCTGTGTGGTGGTGGCAGGACTAGGAGATGTTATTTGTAGTTTTCCCGTCTTTGGTTTTGGTATCAGGGCAGCTCTGGCTCTTTAAGAGGAGCAGGGAAATGTTCTCTTCATTTCTGTTTTCTGACTTGTGGAATTTAGTTTTAATTCTTCCTTGCATTTTTCTTTTTTTTTTTTTTAATGTTTTATTTATTTATTCATGAAAGTCAGAGAGAGAGAGAGAGGCAGAGGCAGAGGGAGAAGCAGGCTCCCCGCCTAGCAGGGAGCCCGATGCGGGACTCGATCCCAGAACCCTGGGATCATGACCTGAGCCGAAGGCAGACGCTTAACCATCTGAGCCACCCAGGTGCCCTGAATTTTTCTTTTTTTAAAGATTTTTTTATTTATTTGAGAGAGCAAGAGACAGCAGGACAGAGCATGAGTGGGGGGAGAGGCAGAAAGAGAGGGAGAGGCAGACTCCCTGCTGAACACAGGGCTCCAACCCCGGGACCCTGGGTTCATGACCTGAGCCAAAGGCAGACACTTAACCAACTGACCCACCCAGGCACACCTTGAGTATTTTAATATACTTCAACAGTGATGCCATTTGGGCCCATAGTGTTCCTTATTGGAAGGTATTCAATTATAAATTCAAGGTTTTCATTAGATATAGAGCTACTCAGATTTGCTATTCCTTGTATCAATCTTGTAATTTGTTCATTTCATTTAAGTAGTCAAGTGTATTGGTATAGAGTTATTTATAATATAAATACTTTTAAAGTTTGTAGGACCTCTAGGAAAGTCATTTTTCCCCCTTGATATTGGTGATTTGTATTTTCTCTTTTCATTTTCTTTTATTAGTCTAGCTAGAGTTTGGTCAGTTTTTTGTTTGGTTTTTTTTTTAAGATATTTATTTATTTATTTATTTATTTGACAGAGAGAGAGAGAGAGAGCAAGAGCAGGAACACAAGCAGGGGGAGCAGGAGAGGGAGAACCAGGCTTCCTGCCAAGCAGGGAGCCCGATGCGGGGCTCAATTCCAGGACCCTGGGATCATGACCTGAGCCGAAGCAGATGCTTAACGACTGAGCCACCCAGGAGCCCCGAGTTTTGTCAGTTTTATTGATCATTTCCAAAAACCATCTTTTAATTTTTTCAGTTTTCTATTTCTTTGGTTTTTCCTTTATTGTGGTTGTTGTCTTCTTTCTACTTACTGTGGATTTCTTTTTTTTTTTAAGAGTTTTATTTATTTATTTGACAGAGA